TGGCTTGACTGCTTTAGAGCCTAATCCTGTTCCAGAATCTAAAAGGGGTTTTTATTTGTAATGATTTTGTAGAACTGAGGCTCTAATCTTTGACAGTATTATCTACCAATGTATAACAGGAAGTATTGTTTCCTCACTTACATTTACATACCTGTTGAGGACTGAAGACTTTATACTTTCAGCCAACCACGTTAAAGTTGACAGTTTTTCAAAAACTTGTTTATTGGACTAATCTAAAATCCTCAAAAAATCTAGAGTAGATGGGTGGAAGCGCCATTGTAATAACAGTTCATTCCAAACCTAGATACCCAGCCAAAAATGTATAATTCAGGATTTGTTTGAGCTGCATTTCTAACCCTAGTTTTAGAGTGGTAGCCGTGTAGTCTGTATCAGCAAAAACAACGAGGAGTCCTTATGGCACCCTAGAGACTAGAGACTAACAAATTTATTTGCACATAAGCTTTCGTGGGCTAAAATCCACGAAAGCTTATGCCCAAATAAATTTGTTAGTCTCTAGTCTCTAAGGTGCCACAAGGACTCCTAGTTGTTTTAACCCTAGTTTTGTAACCCCAAACTTCTATTGGCATAAGTGGAAGTCTTAGGTGCATAAAAGATATCTTATCTCAATGGACAAGACTTTGGTCTAACCGTAAATCTGAAGTAACAAATTAAAATTATGCCTATTTATATTTAAAGTAAACTATATTTTTCCTTGAGTCTTACATCAGTGTAACACCATTGATTTCTGGGGAGTTACACTGTTGTAAATCAGGAGAACTGAAAGGAAAATCAGTTCCATTTTTTTAAAGTTTGCCTAAAGAACATGTATTTCCTTAAGAAGGTTGAGAGCTAACTGAAACACTGAGATAAATCAGGCACTACTCTAACGCATTTATTTGTATTTAACTTGTAAAAAATACTGCCTGTCTTATTTGTAACCTTTCTTCAAGTTCTTAAGCTTAATTTTCTAGCAATCTTGATTAAAGTACAGCCCATGAGATAACCAGATGTGCAATACTGTAGAAAAGTTGCTGGAGAACTAAGCAAATCTAATACAATCCACACCAAAAAACAAACCAAAGGGCAATCACTTACCAGTGACATCAGTGACACTTTTCAAATTAGGACAGCAAATAGGATTTGAGCCAAAGTTTGTTTTTTGTCTGTCTAGCTATTTATATGGCAGTATGAGTGTCCCCATGGTGCTAGAACATGGGTGGGCAAACTTTTTGGCCCAAGGGTCACATCTGGGGATGGAAATTGTATAGTGGGCCATGAATGCTCACAAAATTGGGGGTTGTGGTGTGGGGGGGAGAGGGGCTGAGGGCTCCAGCTGGGAGTGCAGGCTCTGTGGTGCAGGAGGAGGCTCCAGGCTGGGACCGAGGGATTCGGAGGGCGGGATGGGGATCACAGCTGGGGCAGGGGGTTGGGGCACGGGAGGGGGTCAGGGGTGCAGGCTCCGGGCAGCGCTTACCTCAAGCAACTCCCGGAAGTGGTGGTATGTCCCCTCCTCCGGCTCCTAAGCAGAGGTGTGGCCAGGCGGCTCTGCGCGCTGCCCTGTCCGCAGGCGCTGCCCCTGCAGCTCCTATTGGCCATGGTTGCCAGCCAATGGGAGCTGCGGGAGCCGCACGGAGCTACGGCACGCGCGGAGCGGGGCAAGCCCCCAATCCCACTCCTCGGTTGGAGCACCGGAGCAGGGCAAGGCCTGGACCCCACTCTCTGGCAGGAACTTGAGGGCCTGAGTAAAACGTCTGAAGGGCCAGATGCGGCCCCCAGGCTGTAGTTTGCCCATGCCTGTGCTAGAAGATGCACCTGAAACATTACTATAATGTCAGTCTTGAGTCTCTCCTGAGCAAAAACCACCAACCCTGTCTAATCTGGAACTTTAGTGATGTGGAGATGAACTACTACAGACAAAAGCTCTTTCACACCACATGGCAGAGCAAGGTACATGCACCTCCTTAAGCCAATCTAGTCCAAATGGTGGTTATAAATGCACTGTAGAGGACGCTTCTGCATGGGTGGATGTGATGTGTGTACAGTTGTACGGGGGGGGGGGGGGGGGGGTCACAAGGTGGTTAACATGCCAGTTTTTAGACAGAGCCTTAATTTGTTTAAAATATGGCTACAGCCTTAGACCCTGATTTTGCACTGAGTAGCACAGTGATGCATCCCTGCACCCATGCCCCCACACTGAAGTTAGTGAAGCTCCACAGAGAAGAGAGGAGGTGAGGGGAGTGGGTAGATGGGATTTAATAACTACAAACCGAATCACAGCTGCTTGAAGATGGCCCTGAATGCCATCAAAGTTAATAGGAGCTAGCACCTTACAGGATTGCATCCTCAGTGACATTTTAAAATTAGAACTACTGCCATGTAAAAGAAATGCAGGTGTGGATCACTGCATAAACCATCCACTCTGTTTAAAAAGTAGTTATAGAGATGTGTATTAGATATTCCAGTACGAAGCCATTCATGAGTGTCTTATTTCCAGTAAGATGCAACATACATACATAACAAAATTAGAACAAATATTAAAAGGTGGATAAGCAGTTGTAGTGGGCATGTAATGGGGAAAAAGCTTTGAGATTTTACATTAATGCACACAGTGACAGTATATTCTATTATTTTAAAGAAAAACAGCACAAGATCTGAAGTGTTCATGCCTGAGCCCTGTGAGGAAGCCGACGTTCACATTAAAGTCCGTGGGGAATTTTGCCTTGCCAGGGAGCTTGGTCAGAATAGGCAGCATCAGAGCTTTCTGAAGAGGCACCCGGTGAAACCTATATACATGGGAGCACTAAAGAACTCTCAAAGTAAAAGGTGCCCTAAGTTCAATATGTAATCTAATACCCAGAAAGAGCTTTACTTAGTTTTGAGCACTGGTCCTACTGTCAAGCCTTTGGCAAACTAAAAATGCTCAGCTCTAATCTAAATCCCCTATCACATTTCCTTTGCAGTTCCTGGGCCAGCTCCCTTTATCGGTTGCTTTTAATTAGAGTTAACTCAGCTTTAAACCAGATCATCTCTATGTAAGGAAACAGCTCACAACATTTTGCAAAGAGTAAAAAGAGAAGTAAATAATTTAGACCCTAACCAGTATTCATGAAATGTAGACCCTAAATGGATGAACAAACTGCGAGTACTATCTGAAGTAACATTAATAACAACTGTGGTTTAATATTAAAGATAGGGGGAGTCTTGGAGACCCTCCAGATCTGTTCAATGCCCTATCCTCTGCACTAGTGGTAAGAGCTGGAGGAGATGCAGGGTTGGAGGCACTAGTACTGGGTTAACAAAAGTGCCAGTGTCACCAGGTCCACACTGGGAAGGGGCCTATTACAGACCCCTCTAACCCATCCACAAGGCCAGATCTGGACCCTCACGCGGGGCAGTCCAGCACCAGGTCTTGCTGTGTGAGCGGCTCACAGCCAGCAGATCCTGCTCGCCTATAGGGGGCTTGCCACCCAGCAGCCAGGCTTCACCATGTCGGGCTGGGCAGGGCTGCTGGCTGCAGGGCCAGTGGGCTCTCGGGAGTTGTCCCAGGGACCTGCCTCATTCCCTAGTGTGGCTCCAACTCCGAGCAGTCTCTGCTGCCCAGCACCTGCAGGGCCCCCAGCTGCCTCCCCGGGTAGCCGAGTTGGCTGGGACCTGTGCAGAGGCTGGTCTGGTCTTGGCCAGTGAGGTGGGAGAAAGAGTTTGGGAGTTGGGGGCCCTCGGGCAGGTCCCGCCAGGCAAGTGGATCCTGCTCCAGTCTGGCTGATCACACTGCTCCTGAGGGACCAGAGCAATGCAAAACCCTCCCCGCCCCGAGACCAGCCCTGACGCACTTCTTGGCTCAGCACAGCAGATAGTCACCTCCTAGTTAGGTGGGGGGAGGGGACAGGGTGTGGAGGAGTGGGTCTCTGGGGAGTCTGTAGTCAGAGAGGCACTGGGCAGTGACGGGGTAGGGGATGCTGGGTAGTGGAGGAGATTTGTATGTTTTGGGTGCTGGGCAGTGGAAGGCCTGTGGGGGATGGAGGAAGTCTGTGAGTGTTGGGGTGCTGGGCAGTGGGGGATCTGTCTAGGGCCGTGTGAAGTTGTGGGAGGGGCTGTAGAGGGAGGGCACTGGGGGCTCTGTGGGTTGGGAGATGGTATGCAGGGCACTGTGCAGTTGGGGGGGGCTGGGCATGAGGTCAATAGGGGTCTCAGCAGTGGGGCATGGGGTCTGTGGGGGATCTCCAGGCAGGGGGGTGCTGGGCATAGGGGTCTGGGTGGGAGGGCACTAAGGGGGTGGGGAGCACTGTGACAGCGCAGGCTGCTCCCGAGGGGAAGGGGCACGCTGGCAATGCAGCAGGCCAGCCCAGTGTGCGTCTGGTGGCTGCTGGTTTGTAAAGTGACCTCGCGCTGGGCATTTGCGCCATGCCCCATTGCCCCCGGCTGGCACCTTGCTCCAGGGACCCCGCCCCTCCACACCAAACCCCACTGCCCCCATGGGGGCCCACAAAAGGTTAATCAATCTGGCCCTAGGGGGGCACTTGCCGCAGACCATTACAGTCAGTCTGTTTTACAGTAAGGAAAGGGGATTGGTGTGTAGGGAGACAAGACATCCCATATTGGGGGCTTTGTCTTATATAGGCAACTGTACCCCCCGCACCCCCCCAAAAAAGTGTCCTGATTTTCACACTTGCTAGCTACTCACCCTGTCGGTGCGGGGGAGGCTGGGGCAGGAGACACTGGCAAGGTGGGGGAGGAGGAGGCTCCCGCCAGCAGAAGCTGGGTGGGAGAAGGCTGGCTCAAGCCACCTGTGTCTGCCGCTGGCCCCGCTCTCTGGGTACGGCTGGTTGGACACCGTCACCAGCGGCTGTCCCGTACCAGTGGGCGCCGGCTAAGGGGCTATTTAACTGCGCTGGAGATGTTGGGGCTCGGGCTGCCGCCCTCCCACCTAAGGTGCCACAAGTACTCCTGTTCTTCCTCCCACCTTGCAGGCTCGGGATCCCCGCGGAGCGGCCCGCCCTTACCTTTCGGAAATAGCTGCCCTCCGCTTGCCGCGCCGCCCGGCAGCTCCGGGGCACCAAGGTGTCCGTCATGTCCCGCCTGCTGTGCCGCGCTCGCCTGACCGTGTGCGCGGAGCGCTGCCCGGCCTGAGTGAATCCCGTCCCGCAGCCCAGCTCCACCCCCCGCACGGGGCGGGGCGGCTGAGTCAGCCCCCGAGCCCGCCGCCGCGCCGCCCTGCCCAGCCTGTGTTGGGGCGGGGGGACTCCTCGACAAGCCACTTTTCCCTGCCCCACCCCCGCCTGATCTCCCCCGGCGCGGGGTTCGCCCTGCCCCGGGCTGTCCGAGTGGTGTCCTGAGGGCGGGATCGGGGGTGGCATGGAGGCCGTGAGGGGCTGTGGGCGGCCTGCTCATTTCCTTGCCCCCTGATTTCCTTCGCTGTGACTTTCTGCATGTGCCCTTGTGCTGCCACACCTACCCCGGGCGCGTTGTGTGCACGCAGGCTATAGGGAACGGGCAACACAAGTGCCCTCACCTCTCCCAGAGCCTCCCTCCCGCTTGATTAACAGGGCAGCGCCCAGCCCGCTGCCTCGTTGTACTGGACAGGAGGGGCCGTTTGCCTCGTTCCTCTCTTCCCCTAGTAAGAAGCAGGCTCCTGTGATTCTGTTTAGTAAAATCCCGGACCCTTTCTGCTCTGGATGCCCCACTCTCAATCTTCCTTATGGCACCCAGCCTGCTGTTGTCTGGACATCTCTGCTGTGAAACGAATAATCTGTGGTGATGGCATATTATTATGTGGCCTCAGAAGACTTTATTCATGTTTGATGTATTTTCCCTGGTGCATTTCCCTTCCCATGCAATCGTGTTCAATACCAGCCTTGAAAGCTGCAGGTGCGTCTATTTCATCAGCTCGCGTAGTTGGAGACAATGCCTTCCATTTGCCTGGAAATTGTCCCTGCAGGGAGCACTCTCCCCCTGGCGCCGGGAGCTGCTGGCTTTGTTTTCAAATACACATTGTCATACCAGTCTTCCTGGGGCCGTTTACTTCCCCTGATTTCTCTGTATTTGAAGCTTTCAACTCAAGAGATAATATGGTCACCATGGCTCATTACTCTTCTCCATGAGTGATTCATTCTTCAGCGCTTGGGGGAGTATTTACAAAATGCTGGTCAAGATAATTAATAGCAGGAAAGAATTACTGTATGTGCTGTGCACTTACGCACTCTGTTGTTTTCCTGTTAAAGCCCATTGTACAGCAAAATAATACAAATGATAACTCAGCAGCTAGGGGGGCAGGAACTGTTTTTATTTGTTCTTGTACAATCAGGCTCCATTATTTATTATTATGTATTTAGACTAACGCAGTAGTTTTAGTACACCTCTGGAAATGGTTACACATTACACTTTTAAAAACAAATTCTTCCCAAATCGATATAATAAATTGTAACCTACATCTCAACCCTTTATCACCCAGAGGCAGCAGAAATCTGGGAAGAATTTTGACAAAATCTGTATTACTCAAAGAGTCTAGTTCCGCAGGCTTTACACAGACTAAAGTCCTCTCAAGTCAATGACAAAAAACCTAAGTAAACAATGCAAGATTGGACCCAAAATACTTCAGAACGTTTTCCTCAAAATTGCAGAAATCTGCAGCACTTTAAATGAAAACCTGTCATCCTTCAAAAAAAAGTTCCATTGTATAACTGATTTTGTAGGTATTTTTGTTAGTCATATAAAGAAGTTTAAATATTAAATACCAAAATAATGTGCTTATTACTGCACAGTCCTGACCTACAGAGATCTGTGGAAATGTACTGATTAAAGATGCAATATATCAAAATACTTTATAATTAACTTTCCATGAGTAGAAGTGAGTGTTTTTTTCCAACAAATGCTCTGTAAGTTTAAAGTGTCTGGTAACCACAATCTTCAGAAAGAGGAGAGAAAATCTGCGGAGGCAAGTCCCCATTATCTAGGGAAAATATCTTTGGAGTTCTCTCTTCTTTTACTGCAGCTGCATTTTTTTAAGATACCAATGTTTGTAGAGTTATTTATGAGTTGTAGTCTGATAGGCTGCACATCTATTCTGTTCCCATGGAACTGAGATATGTTAGAAACAGATCCAAATTTTTGATCTGCTAAGGGCCCGATCCTGCCCCCGTTTAAATCCATCAGAATTTTGCCATGATTTCAATATATGAATTGCAACTACCTTTCACTAATCTGTCAGTTGTAGGTCTCATCCAAGTCAAAAGCAAAGCCAGACCCAGCTGTTTCATCTTTTTAACTGTCTTTGCTGCTTTTAAAATGTGTGTGACTTCCAGAAGCACTTTCCATTCAATTGACTGACTACTACTGGAATGTGACAAACTCCTATGATGAATATAACTAATATAGTAATTTTCAATCTCTGAGCTCTGCGAGTCTTTTGAGTCTGCATTTCTTGTGGAGGTCACAAATTTGAAAAGTGCACCTTTGGAGAATCGCCCATCACACTTTCTCAACAAAAGATAAGAGGGAAAAGAGAAAGCAGAGTTTGTGTCAAAGGCAGTCATAAAATAATGGTGATGAGATGTGTGGGAATTATTTTCAGAAATTTGTAATAGTATTACATCAATACATGATGATACTGTGTCACGACAATGCAGCACCAATATGCAAAGATTGCCGCATAATCAGGATAATCCTTCCTGTGGCTTTTGTGAGACTCCATTCATTGACAAAATGACTTTCTAGTTCTGCAAGGCTAGGGATCACTGTTTTAATATGTTGTCCAGTAGATAGTAGAGCTGAGCAAATAATGGATTTTTCAGTTCGGAGTCTCCTGACCCAAAAAATCCAAAAAAGGTCAGTTAAATTTGAATTGAAATCTTTTTTTCACTGAGTTTTTGTTGAAACAAACTCAGGAAAAAAATTGTTCTGAGTTGACGCCAGTGATTTCAGTGGTATCAGTCAGGAAATTTTTAGCAATGCATTTCAGAATCAGGCTCAGGAAGTTGGTGAAACGTTCATGCAGAGAAGATTGGAAATAGATATTAATTATATACCAGCTTTGATTCTCTTAAACGTATATAGACTCACATCTGATTTTTTGGTTAAATTAGCATCTCAGTATCTTCTTAAAGGGGCAATTTCAGGTAATTTAGTAATCCTGTTGTTCTAAGGCCTGTATTTTAAATTGCCCAAGAAAACAAAAGTCTAACTCAGCCTGTTATTTAAAATTGTTTCTGAAAGTCAGCAAAAATTGTTTAAGTTAGAAGAACTCTAAGAGTCTTCAAGGCTCCTGGTAAAGTCATGGGTCAGCAGAACTAGCTGAAACAGGAGGAAAAGTTCATAGTTGAAATAACTGAAATGTGTTTTTAAAGGGTTAATTTTAATGGGTGAGATTGCCACCTCTTCTTGGATACAGTTTATCTGAGGATTATTTAACTAAATGGGAGCAGCAGGGACATGTGAACTGGAAGGAGCAAATTTTACCATGATGTCTGCCACCCTCACCATTTCCTAGGACCCTGGCATCCACCATGGCACTATTTGGGTCTTCATTCTCCTGATCCCAGAAGACCAGAGCAGGCCAGAATAGGAACCAGATGACATCACCAACTCCACCAACTTCAGCTAAATCCTGAACAACACCTAGAATGTGATACTTGGATAGGATGACCAGATAGCAAGTGTGAAAAATCGGGACAGGAGGTGGGGGGTAATAGGTACCTATATAAGAAAAAAAAACCCAAAATTGGGACTGTCCCTATAAAATCGGGACATCTGGTCACCCTATACTTGGATTCCTGCTTTCATCCCATCTCTAGTGTCATTTTCCTTCCCCACTCTGTTTGTTCTCTTTCCCAACTCTCTTCTTTTGTCTTCTGTCTAATAAGCTAGCAGCGAATATCTCCAACAGCCTGTGATGGGACATTAAGTGCGGAGGGCTCTGAGTTACTACAGAGAATTATTTCCCAGGTGTCTGGCTGATGGGTCTTGCCCACATGCTCAGGGTCTAACTGATCACCCTATTTGGGGTCAGGAAGGAATTTTCCCCTGGGTCAAATTGGCAGAGACCCTGGAGGTTTTTCTCGTTCCTCTGCAGCATGGGGCACGGGTCACTTGCAGGTTTAAACTACTGTAAATGGTGGATTCTCTGTAACTTGAAGTCTTTAAATCATGATTTCAGGACCTCAGTGACTCAACCAGAGATTATGGGTCTATTACAGGAGTGGGTGGGCAGTGATGCTGAAACAATTTGTATAGTGAGGGGTACTGAGAGCCATTGAACCAAACTGTAAACCAGGGGTAGTCAATAGGTGAACTGTGGGCCAAATCTGGACCGCCAGATGCTTTTGAACAGACCCCAAAATCTTATCGTTATTGTTGGATTTTTTTAAATTATTTTCTCTGTAGTCTGGGCCTTGACTATACCTTGACCAAGAAATTTGGACTTTGAATAAAAATAATTGACTACTCCTTCTGTAAACCCTTCTTATGACAGAAACCACTTCAAGCCAGGAGGTGCTACTGCACTGAAGAAAAAAATGCTGTTGTAGTTCGGATTCTTGTGATGTGTGACTAGAGAAATAGTCACACATTTTGAGGTTCCTCAAAATGTTTTGTCAGCAAGCCTGTTGGAACATTAGATATGAAATTCAGGGCCGCCCAGAGGATTCAGGGGGCCTGGGGCAAAGCAATATCGGGGGCCCCTTCCATAAAAAAAAAAAGTTGCAATACTATAGAATGCTAAATTGCCCCACTTGCCCCCACCCCGGGCGGCCCTGATGAAATTCAGGTATCTACACATCAGTGTTGCGGCTGTTCCGGACTGATATTCATAGTCCTATACAGACGAGTCTTATCTTACGCGGGGGTTCCGTTCCACGGTTAGCGCGTAAAGTGAAAACCGCGTATAGTCTCAAGTTATTGCTGGCTTATTTCCACTGTAACAACCATGATTAAAAATCTTTAAAACTTATTATTGAAGATGCGTACACACACAAAAAATCAGTGAAGCATTTGAAATGCAAAGTAGTAAGTAAGAGTTTAATTGTAACAATATTTCTTATTCCTTTTAGCTATATAAAATCTTTTACAGGGACAACCCCTGTTTGACAGTCTTTTAGATGGCATTTAAGATTACC